ATTTTCATCCTATTTCTTCTTCTTCTTTTTTTCGCTCAAACTTTCTCTTCTAACACTCAAGAATAAGGTTTCTCCGTAACTTTCTCCGTCCCTCTACATCCTTCTCTATTTTCTTTAACGAGCTAATTTGCTTAGGCCACTAATTGTGTCATTAGCTTAAGTGGCCAAGTTTAACTCAAATTAACCTTGCTTATTTTTTATTTTTTATTTTTTTTTGGGTGAATAAGACATAAATTAAAGACAAAGGATATACAAGATTACAAGGGGAATACCCCAGGCCCTACAACAACTATACAGGAAGATCAGTAACCTAGAAAACCAAAAAGCTAACGCAAAAGAGAAACCAAAATCCAAAAAACACACTGTTCAGCAACCATATCAAGAGAGATAGGGATAATGAACACTGCGAAGGACAGCTAAAAACCGAGACCAAAACAAACCCATAGCATCACTAAACATCGGCACCAAAACCGAGAAACAGGATTGGTGAACAAAACAGAACCTGTGCAATACATATCTAGGTGCAAGACGCAAAGCTAAATCAAAACCAGCACCTAACAGTAAATCAAAAGTAAAGACAAAAAACAGTCCAACATGGACTATATAATTCCTAGCACATCCCACTAGGATAGGTAAAGTAACTAACATCATTAAAAACAAATAAGGAAAACAGCTTATATCCCTGAAGAAAACATCCAGCGGCGCATTCAGCAGCGAGCTTCGAGCCAAGTATCCCAAGAACCAATCCAAGTCACTAGACAATATAGAAAGACCCTCAAAACCACAAACCAGTAGCATACACTAGAGCATCGGACAACATCTCCATAAGCATCAACACCACAGCAAAGCAGTCCAAAGTTTGGTGAAGATGGCAGACAATCTCTAAACATAGTAGAATTTCCTGCCAGTAACAAGAAACCACAACCCAAATCACAGAAGCCCAATAAAATCCAATAATAATGATAATACATACATATTGTAAACTCTCATCACTCGGCCCACAATATAGGACCTCACAACACTCGAAAACTGCTTCCTTATCCTGCAAATAAAGAGATAATATATATATACTGGTTAGCAAATAAAACATATGTAGGCTATTTTCACTCAACCATCAGATATTCCATTAATTACCAAATGTCTAACAGATTTGAATTTTATGACTCACATCACTCAACCCTCAATCCATAGAGCTGCACAGGACACAAACAGTTAGAAACCCCACATTATGTAGCTCACCAACTCTCAACTCTCATGTGAGAAACTCCCATCACTCAACAGCCCTCCCAATACGAACAGTATGGGGCTTCAAAATGGAATCAGTCAAATTCCATTGCTTAAGGAACCATTCATCACCTGCACATCTAGGCAAATTGTTTAATGACATTAACCTGCCTCTAATCATTTGAACAATTGACTTAATAACAACTTCTTCAGGTTTCATTTCCTTGTTAAAAATTCTGTTATTTCTTTCAATCCAAACCTGATAAACAGTACATAGCAGAGCCAGTCTAGTAGTAATGGCTCTCAGAGATTTACCCAGACTCTCCCTCATAGCAACATGAACAATATCAGGCCAAAAAATGTCAGGCCACTTTACATTACACATAACTTTAATAGCATCCCAAACCTTTAGAGAGAAAATGCAATTAAAGAAGAGGTGAGAGTGGTTTTCAGTGTGATGATTGCAGAAGGAGCATTTGAAATTATCACTCAGAGCAAAAGTTTCTAACCTGTCCCCAGTGTTAAGCCTTCCATGTAAGGCAATCCAGACAATGAAACTAACTCTAGGGATATTGAAAGGACCCCACAGCAGTTTATACCAAACCACCTTATCATGTTTATCTCTCCAGTGGTTCCAAGCAGATTGGATGGAGAACATACCATCTTGAGTAAGAGTCCAAATAGGAGTATCATTACTCAAAGATCTGGGTTTGAAAGAAGGGGTCAATGATATAAGGTCTCTTATCTCCCAAGAGTTGGGAAAAGGCCAGTGCCAGGAATCCCCATTAACAATATGGCTCACTTTAGCCTCCTCAGAGAGACCAGAATCATAGATAATCCTATTCCCAAATTTGTCCCAAATAGAGCCCACCGGATGCCAGTTATCATACCACAAGAAAGTAGCATTACCATTCCCAATTTTGTGGACAATGAGAGGAAATATTGACTTCCTAAGAGAAAGAATCTTCCTCCAGACCCAAGAAGGATCACTAGGAACAGGGACTTTCCAAAAACTTTTGCCTTTGAGTAAGTAAGATTTAACCCATTGGCACCACATCGACTTCTCACCCCCCGAGAAAAGGAACCAAATATGTTTGGCAATAGCAGCTCTATTCCAAACCTCCAGAGATTTAAAACCCAGACCACCTTCAGACTTGGAGCACAAACCTTATCCCAAGCAATTTTCGCACTATGCTTCTTCAGATCAACCCCGGACCAAAGAAAGGCTCTAAGTAAATTTTCAATTTCTCTAACAACCTTCTTAGGGAGGATGAACAACGAGGGCCAATAGACTTGCATGGAGAACAGGATGGTTTGAATAAGCTGAGCTCTACCAGCATAAGAGAGGGCCTTATTGGTCCAACTCTTAATACGATTAGTGATTCTATCAATAAGCTGCTGGCAATCTAATGCTCTCAACTTAGTGGTGATTAAGGGGACACCCAAGTACTTGACAGGGAGGGTACCTTCCTTGAAATTGGCAATCTTAAGAATATCCTCCCTAAGACTAGAATCACAACCACAGAAAAAAATGTTACTCTTGGCAGCACTAGGAGTAAGACCCGAAAGATTCTTAAACTCCTCAAGCCCATGCATAATCATTTGAACAGTAGATGCATCCCCTTTGCTGAATATCATTAAATCATCAGCAAAGCACAAGTTCACAATCTTAGTCTTCTCACATCTCCAATGGAATTTAAAAAGATGATGGTTGGATTTCTCAGCAAGAATTCTAGCCAGGATTTCCATAGCCAAGACACACAAATAAGGAGACATAGGGTCTCCTTGCCTAAGGCCTCTTGCGCCCTTGAAATAGCCATGAAGGCTCCCATTGATGCAAATGGAAAACGACGGACTTGTGATACAAGCCTTAATCCAGGAGATCATAGAGAGTGGAAAGGCCATGGCCTTTAAGACATCAATAATAAACTACCATCTAACAGTATCGTAGGCTTTCATAATGTCAACTTTTATAGCACATTTAGGAGTAACGGACTAACGATGATAACCTCTCATAAGCTCTTGGGACAAGAAAATATTATCAGAGATCCTCCTACCTTGCACAAAAGCAGATTGAACAGGGTCAATCAAATCAGGGAGGACAGCCTTAATTCTGTTAGCAATAATCTTGGCTATGCACTTATAGATTGTGTTGCAACAAGAAATAGGCCTAAAGTCACCCACTCTCAAAGGATTAGGAACCTTAGGAATGAGAGCAATAATAGTGCTGTTAACCTCAGAGAGAAGTTTACCAGACTGGAAAAAGGTTCTAATTGCTTGAGTAACTTCCTTCCCAACAATGTCCCACGAGGCCTTAAAAAAACTACCCGTAAAACCATCCGGGCCAGGGGCTTTATTAGCCTTAAGGGACCAAACAACATCCTTGATCTCTTGATCGGAGACAGGACTACCAAGCTTTAAAGATTGTTCCACAGAGACTCTAGCCTGGACCAGAGAGTTAATCCTTACAAAACCATTGTACTGGTCCCTGAGCGGGGTACCAAAAAGGTTTGTGAAAGAACTAATGAAGGCTTGATGAATGTCTTCAGGCTTAGATGTTTTGCTACCATCCTCCAACTCAATGCTAAGGATTTTACTTCTGTTAATATTGCTCTTAACAGATCGAAAAAAGAATTTGGTGTTCCTATCCCCCAGACCCAACCAATCAACCCTGGACTTTTGATGGGCAAGACTCTCCTCCACAGCACATAAATCCACATAATGCCTGTAGTTAGTTCTCTCAAGATTCTGCAAAATCAGATTGCTCGGATCCTTGTCCAATTTATATTGAACTGATTCAAGGTCTGACTTAGCAACAAGGACTCTAGTAGATATGTCACTAAAACCTTTCTTGTTAAGGTCTCTCAACCCAGATTTCAAATTTCTAAGCTTTTGACAGACTCTGAACATGGGAACACCCTGAATATACTGACTCCACTCGTTAGAAACCAGAGAAAGAAAGTCCTTATGCTTGGACCAGAAATTAAAGAACTTAAAAGGTTTCTTGTAAGAGGTGACAGCATCAGATACAACCACTACAGCAGGAGAGTGGTCAGAGATTGTGGAAGGTAGAAAAAAAGCAGTAGAGTTGGGAAAATTATCCAGCCAAGACTCATTAACCAAAACTCTATCAATTTTAGTTGCAATATACTCCCCACAGTCCCTCTTGTTAGCCCAAGTAAATTGGCAGGCAGAGTAGGACAAATCATCAAGCTCAGAGGCAATAATATAAGAATTAAATTCCTCCTTAGAAGAGTTCCAAATCTGAGAGCCCCCAAATTTCTCATGACTGTATCTAGTAGCATTAAAATCTCCTAAAAAGGCAATGGGACAATTGGACTGAGAATGGGATAAACGAACCATGGTTTCACAGAAGACCCTTCTCACAGAGTAGTTATTATCAGCATACACAAAACAGGCAAGGAAACTAGAGGCCTGAGTAAGGTCAGTAATCTCACAAAAAATATGTTGGTCAGAGGCAGATAGCTGGTTGACCATACAAAAATTTGAGTCCCAAAAAACACAAATTCTACCAGTTTCATTAGGTTGTGAGTTTGACAAAAAGGACCAATTCTTTAAACACGAAGAGAAAATTTTCTTTTCATTTACAGCTTTTATTTTGGTCTACCCATGACTTTAATATCTTCTTTAACCACAAAATTTTTTAACTCTCTATGTTTAGAAGGGTCATTCAACCCTCTAATATTCCAAGTAGCTATTTTAAAAGTCATGGAGAACAAAAGACAAAACAAAACCCACAACTAAGAAACTGAGAGTTACCTCTTCTTTTTCCTCTGGCTACTGCTGCTCTTGCCAGAGGATTTACCTTTTGCTGGAAGATTGGGTACAGGACTAGCCTTAGGACTACCAAGATTTGAATCCTTGAACTTCTGGACTTCCTCCAGCAATGCTGGGTCTTGAGGGATGATAAGGCTTATAACATCTGCCAAATTGCTCTTCATCTTTTGCAGGCCCTCAAAGTAGGGAACATCTTCCCCAGTGACAGCCGAAGAACCAGCAAGATTCTGAGAGGCAGCAGGCCTGTTGTCCTCTGCAACTGAGTCAGAAGTTTTTCCTTGAACTGTAGAAGGTACTTCCCTATTCAACAATAAGTCCTCTTCATTAGCTTCAATTTGGTCAGGTAGGGAAACCTCCCCTGGCGCTTCTTCCTGTTCATTTGTTCCATGAGTACCTTGAGGAGCAGGGATTGCCTCATCTCCAGCACTAACTCCAACTTGCTTCTTCCCTTTAGCCATAATAGTGGTCCAGCCAGGCTCAGTAGGATTCTCTTCTGTTTCTTTCTGGAGAGATACCGGTTTGGCCACTTGAGTAGTAACACATCTAGTTGTGTCATGGCCGAAAGCAACACAATGCTCACATTTAGCAGGAAGACCTTGGTATTCAACATTCACAACAACTGTTTCACCATCACAATTTACAGGGAATGAAGGTGGTTGTTTGGAAGAAGCATCAACTTCCACACACACTCTGGAAAAAGCAACCCTACCCCCACTAGCCGTGAGTTGATCCGTAAACAAAGGGTTACCAACAACACTAGCAATCCTACCAAGGCCATCATCATCCCAATATTCTAAAGGAATGTTATAGAATCTGACCCAGACTGGTACTTTAGTCACCTTATCCTTCGATAATTTCATCATCCGCTTCCATTTTTTCAGAATAATATTGAAGCCCCCAATGTACCAAGGACCTCCCTCCAGAACTTCGAAGCAACACTCAGGGTTATCAAAAATGAAGAAAATAAAACCCTCACCATTAGCTAAAACTTCTTTAAGACCCTTATTCTTCTACATGCTAAATGCGCTATTCTTCATATAGTTGAAGTTAACCCCTTTCCCTAAGAAGTAACCCACCAAACAGGAATCCCACTTTTGAAGGGGATTAGGTCTAGGGGGCAAATCAACACTGATAAAGTCATCTTTAACAGTAGGAGGGAAGTACCTGAGAGAGACTTGCGATCTAGTAGACGAATTTGTGATTTCAGCCCACGATTTCTGATTTCCAGATCCCCTACCCCCGCCACGACCTCTGTTGCCTCTTCCTCCTCGAGTATTTGTCCCTCCGCGATCTAGATTATTCCCGAATGAGATATCCTCCCTTTGTTCTTCCTGACCCAGAAAGTCTTGTAGATTTTTCCTCACCGTGTCAGACGGCTGACCTGAATGACCCTCCATACCCTCACGGGATTTCCCATCACCTCTATTCCTTGCTATTTCCAGGCTATCTGGAAGCCTATGGAACACAGACGGTTCATTCTCACTACGATCTGACCAGCGAGGAGTACCTGGAGTCGAAGGGGCTCCGATGGCCAGGTTAGGGTTTGACGATTTAAGCCTTTCAACCCGATCTACAATAGACCGGGGATCAAAGGTCAGATGGGGGGTTACAAAGTCACGTACTCCTTTGCGACTCACCATTTGATCCACCAGATGAGGACAATCTCCAGAGGCTTCTGCCATCTTTGATTCCTGTGGATCATTCGTAATGACCCTTCCCTCGTTATGCTGAGATGCCATATCTAGGGTGTTAACCCTACGATCGGATTGAGATTGGACCGATTCACTACTATCCTGTCCAAGAACAGATACATGAGGATTGATCTCCGAAGAATCCATAGCCTCACCACCAAGGATATCGTATTTGTTTTTAAGAAACCCTAGTTTATCACTCATGATGTTTACGCCAAAGTCTGCCTTGCAGATTGTGTCAACACATACAGAAGGTGAAACATTAATGGGATGAATATGAGTTCCCTTTGATTTTTTTCTTATTTCTCTTTCTTTTCTCTAACTTTCTCTTCTACCTCTGAAGAAGAATGTTTCTATCCAACTTTCTCCGTCCTTCTCCATCCTTCCCTATTTCATTAGCTTAAGTGGCCAAGTTTAACTCAAACTGACCTTGCTTAGCTTTCAAGAAAGCAAACTTTCTATGTAAATGTAGGTTAACGGTATTAGTTTAATATAAACACCTAATTTAATCTTTTCTAAATGACATAAATGCTCAATTAAGTAGCCAAGCTTAACTCTAGCTGACCTTGCTTATCCTCCAAAAAAGCAAATTTTCCAAGTAAATATGGAATAGCGGCATTAGCATGACGTAAGCACCACATTTATGCTTTTCTAAACGATGTAAGTGTTCAATTCTAAAGTCCAAATGGTTAAATTTAAATTCCCTTGTACATTCTTTAAATTTCCCCTTCCGTTATCTAACTTTCTCTTTCAAAAGCAATCCAAACAAGCCCAATGTTTCTCCCTATGCTTTTTTTTTGGGTGAATAATTTCTCTTTCTCCCTATGTTTCTTCGTGCTTCACCTACCTCCCTTCTCCATTTTGTTGTAGGAACTAATTAGCTTAGGCCACTAATTGTTTAATTAGCTTAAGTGGCCAAGTTTAACATAGGCTAAGCTTTTTTTGTCTTTAAGAAAGATAATTTTCTGAGTAATTGTAACTTAACTTGACTTAATTATTCACCAAAAAAAAAAATTGTAACTTAACGATATTAGTTTAACTTAAGGACCTCATTTAAGGTATTCTAAATCATCTAAGTGTTCAATTCTCAAGTCCAAAACGATGAATTTTTATTCCCTTTGATTTTCTTTCGATATCTTCATCTTTTCTCTAACTTTCTCTTCTAGCTCTCAAGAATAATGTTTCTCTGTAACTTTCTCCGTCCTTCTCTCTTTTGTTCTAGGAACAAACTAGATTCGGCCACTAATTGTTTCATTAGCTTAAGTGGCCGAGTTTAACCCAAACTAAGTTTGCTCAGTCTCCGAGAAAGATAATTTTTTGATTAATGGTAACTTAACGATATTAGTTGAACCTAATCGCCTCATTTAAGGTTTTCTAAATCATCTAAGGGTTCAATTCTCAAGCAGAAAACGATGAATTTAAATTTCCTTTGACTTTATTCATATTTCTCTTCGTTTTTTTTTTCTTCTTTTTTTTCCTCAAACGTTCTCTTCTGGCACTCAAGAATAATGTTTCCCTACAACTTTCTTCGTCCTTCTACATCCTTCTCTATTTTCATCAACGAACTAATTATATTAGGCCACTAATTGTTTCATTAGCTTAAGTGGCCAAGTTTAACTCAAACCAACCTTGCTTAGCCACCAAGAAAGAGAATTTTCTGAGTAATTGTTGCTTAACGATATTAGGCTAACTTAAGCACCTCGCTTAAGGTTTTCTTAGTCACTTAAGTGTTCAATTCTCGAGACCAAAAGGATGAATACGAGTTCCCTTCGATTTTTTTCTTATTTTTCTTTCTTTTCTCTAACTTCTTTTCTACCTTTGAAGAAGAATATTTCTATCCAACTTTCTCTGTCCTTCTCCATCCTTCTTTATTTCTTCTACGAACTAATTAGCTGAGGCCAGTAATTGTTTCATTAACTTAATTGGCCAGGTTTAACTCAAACTGACCTTGCTTAGCCTCCAAGAAAGCGAACTTTCTAAGTAAATGTAGGTTAACGGTATTAGTTTAATACAAGCACCTCATTTAATCTTTTCTAAAGTCCAAATGGTTGAATTTGAATTCCCTTTTACATTCTTCCAATTTCTCCTTCTGTTCTCTAACTTTCTCTTCCAAAAGCAAACCAAAACAAGCCGAATGTTACTCTCTAACTTTATCCGTGCTTCACCTTCCTTCTCCATTTTGTTGTGGGAACTAATTAGCTCGGACCACTAATTGTTTCATTAGCTTAAGTGACCAAGTTTAACTAACACAAACCTAGCTTAGCCTCCAAGAAAGAGAATTTCCGGACTAATTGTAGCTTAATATTTTAGTTTAACTTAATCACCTCATTTAACGTTCTCTAAATCATCTAAGTGTTGAATTCTCAAGTCCAAAACGATGTATTTGAATTTCTTTTGATTTTCTTCCTATTTCTTTTTCTTTTCGCTAACTTTCTATTCTTACTCTCACGCATAATGTTTCTCTGTAACTTTCTCCATCGTTCTCTATTTTGACCTGGGAACTATGTGGATTAGGCCACTAATTGTTTCGTTCGCTTAAGTGGGCAAGTTTAACTCAAACTAAGATTACTTACCCTCAAAAAAAAAAAAAAAAACTCAAACTAAGCTTACTTAGCCTCCAAGAAAAAGAATTTTCTGATAAATTGTAGCTTAACGATATTATTTGAACCTCATTTATGGTTTTCTAAATCATCTAAGTGTTGAATTCTCAAGTCCAAAACGATGAAATTGAATTCCCTTTGATTTTCATCCTATTTCTTCTTTTTCTTTTTTTTCCTTAAACTTTCTCTTCTAACACTCAAGAATAAGGTTTCTCCGTAACTTTCTCTGTCCCTCTACATCATTCTCTATTTTCTTTAACGAACTAATTTGCTTAGGCCACTAATTGTGTCATTAGCTTAAGTGGCCGAGTTTAACTCAAATTAACCTTGCTTATTAGCCACCATGAAACAGAATTTTATGAGTAATTGTTGCTTAACGATATTAGTTTAACTTAAGCTTCACTTTTAAGGTTTTCTTAGTCACTCAAGTGTTCAATTGTCGAGTCGAACATGATGAATACGAGTTCCCTTTGATTTTTTTTCTTATTTCTCTTTCTTTTCTCTAACCTTCTCTTCTACCTCTGAAGAAGAATGTTTCTATCCAACTTTCTCCATCCTTCTCCATCCTTCCCTATTTCATTAGCTTAAGTGGCCAAGTTTTTTTTTTTTTGGTGAATAAGACATAAATAAAAGAAGAAAATTTACAAGATTACAAGGGGCAAACCCCAGGACCTAACACAGCTATACAAAGAAAGAAACAGCCAAACAAAAACCCACTAGCCTGTTCACCATCCATATGTACTAGAGATAGAGAGAGTGAACAAGAGCAATAACCGATTTTAGCAGACTAGGAAAAACCAAACATTTGGTCCAGGAACCTACGGCCATGCCAAAACAAAACCCATTCAACTGTAGCACCCACCCAGGAATTGAAACAAAACTGTTGCATCCGCAAGTTCAAGCACAAGTCAAGATAACCCAAGAAAATAAATTTCCTACACAGCCCGTAGGAATAGGAAATAACGCCTAGAAGAACAAAAACAACCAGTTAACATCTATATAAGACAGAACAAAACAAAATACTACAATGTAGAAAATAAAGACGAGGATTTCCACAATGACACTTCTCCACATAGACTGGCGCAGCATGCAGCCTGGTCCTTTGTCTTCAAAGACTCCAATCACAGCCAACCAGAAATAATACCAAGACATCAGCATCCAGAGATAGGACTTCACCTCGGCAGACAGTCCACACAGCACAACAGAACTGCCTATTGCACATAGTAGAATGATCTGTCATCAAAGAGAAACTACATTTGTTACCCAGCATGATATAAATGACACCCAAATGTAGTATGCAAAGAAGACACACAATATTTGGTCTCACATCACTAAACCCACAATTTCGGATCTCACTACACTCCAGTAACAGCATCCTTTGCCTGCACATACAGATGCACTATATATATATTCATTAGTTCAGAAACCATAATACAATATTTGACGACACTCATTCCTCACAGAATATCTTTAAGTAAGGTCACATCACTCAACCCACAGTTTAGGCACTCAAAGATTAAAATGATTAGCTCCAGTTTCCACTGCACAAGAGAATATAGTTAGATAATC